ACTAAAGAAAAACTACTACGTATGTTATTATATAAGCACTTGTTCTCTTTCCCTGCCGTTTCCGCCTTCCGAGCATAGTCCACAGGAACCAAACACGAAGGAATACAATTTCTCGAAGGAACACATTTTAATTTAACTCCACATAAAAATGTTGAATAGAAACAGAGCCGAACTCCATAATCGATTTCAGAAAGAATAGAAAATATTGAGGCAATCTGTATCTCAAACACATGTATTTAAGTTTGCAAGACAAATATGACAGTATGACACGACTAACTTCAGAGAGAAACTTATACAACAAACTAAAAAGAAATAATTACATATTTATGATTAAAATAAAAATTGTTTACAAAAATGTGACTAGTGACTAGAGTAGTAATGAAATCATAGTAACTTATGTTAAATTTTTAAGCTTATGTTATCATGACACTACATTGTAGTAACTATTGGTCATATTTGTGTAAATATGTTTGAAAAAATCCCAACTAAAAAACAAGGAACATGTGGGAACGAACAGTGTGGCATCCAATAGATCCTCCTTCAGTCCACTCAAATTTGAAGAGGGGACATAGTGTGTTCCCAGACCAATATACAATGCATCAGCAGGCGTTGATATTCTATTTCCAGTCAATCCAAGATAAGAACCTGCATCAAGTAGACAAGTCCAATCAATAATAAACTATAAAGAAGCTACCAAACATATATAATTATATAATGGAAAAGAAAACAATGACAGATCCGTAGCAAAAACACAAGAAAACAAAAAAAATGCTAAAAGATCTCACCTACTGCTCCTTCTCCTGGAGTATGTGCAGCTATATAAGCAAAGCCAACATCTGGAAACAAACCAATTCCATTTTCTGGCATGGAAAGAACAGTCCTCTGGAACAAACCCACTTGAATAAAATGGGGAATACTGAAGAATGAAATGTATAAACCAAACAAATTATCACTATAAATGAATAAATACCTCTGTTATTAACCTGTAGCGACCATGACCAGATAATCCAATCCCAAATCCCATCGTTATGCCATCCATGACGCTAATATAAGGCTTCTTGTACTCAGATATCTTACATATTAAAGAATACTCAGCTGAGAAGACCTGTTTCATTATTGGGTTTGGTAGTCATTAAACATGCACCAAGAACTGTTTGACTAAATAGCATGATCTAAACTTAGATTGTTAAATTTTATTGATTTATATCCACAGACAATGTAGACATGAAGAATATGTGAAGTCTACAGAACACTACTACTGGAGCATCTGAAGTAAAAGGTCCAACCCAAGTATGCAGTCATTTCCACTTCCAGTATATAATCATTTCCATAAACATTTTGACTTCTGATTAAAAACATCATCTTTAGAGTGCATTTCCATAAGAGATACTTGAGTACTACGGAGTATTATTCAAATTTAATTAATCATGTTGACTTTGGTGTTATCAAACTGCTTTTTGATAATTGACACAGTGAAAATACACTTCAAGACCTCAATCATATCTGACAGATGTTTTTTGAATGTTATCTGCTTGATGTCACCACCTGCAGGTAAAAACGACACACAGCCACTTCTATGATCCATTGGGCTAATATTTGTTAAGATGTAAAAAAAGATGTTATTAAATTAACAATGATTAAAAAATGAATCATGGATACAATAGTAAATGACATCAACATGTGCAGTTAGGCTACAGTTTAACCATGTATCTTGACAGAAAGAAAGTGAGTGTTTAGCCAAAAGACAAACACATCATGGTTCATGTGCAACTGTAGGAAAAATCTCATGATGCTATGAAAACCTTTTGCACAAGAGAAGTGGTTTTGTCCTTTTGAATTTCGGCAACAACACCCTTAATATCCATTCCTGCATTGGCAATGAATGGTTACCCTCTAAACCTTATAGCACTCAGAAAATGCTAACATAAAAGTGCACATAGAACACATGCAAAGATATAACTACGCAAAAATATATGTGAACATTTACAAGAATATAAATTTTGAGAGTAACAAAAAAGTATGACGGATTTTTCCATATGTCATTATTTACCTGCACAAAAGGCACGCGGGGTGCTTCCCTCGACCAAGACACATTTCACCTTTGGGTCTGATTCCCATTCATCTAAAAAGCTTTTATACCTGATATCCATGTCTGCATCACATTCAACAAAAAAAATTGAAACTTCAAATGAATCATGATCATCCCAATCCCATATACTCCCTGGGTCCCTAAATAAAGATCCCACTTTCCTTTTCGGGCCGTCCCTGTTTACTTATTTGGTAAACAAAACAGTGCAAAACAATGCCAAAAGTGTCAAAACATTACCACAAAATGTCATTTCCTTAAATTGTGTGTAATTCAAAGTGGGACTTTTAAATAGGGACGGAGGGAGTAATGATTTTGTTGTGTTTTAGGAGAAAATGAATAGATTCAGGCACCAAACCGCAGCTCAGAACAGAATCAGATAATATATGCTCAGTACAAGCTCGACTGAAATGTAGACTAACTTCTCACAGACCACAGAATTCTAAATGGTTCATGTAAACTACCTAAAAATAGTAGCTTTACAAACAATACCTAAGTTCATGGCGTTGAGAGCTTTAGGGCGGTCGAGGGTGATGACGGCGACGCCATTCGGGTGGACATTTCCTTTGACGAACTCGTCGGAGCTGCTCGAAGCCATTACCGCGAAGGTCCGGAATGGCGGCGTATGGGAGGATATAGTTCGAGTGAGTAAAATGGAAGAGACAGAGCCGGCTAAAAGAGGAGCAGTGGTCGGTGGTCTGCGTAGGTTCAACAAATTCTGGGAAGCTCCAATCAAATGCCTCTGATTCATTTCTAGTGATCATCAAAAGTTACTGCGCATTCCGAAGGAGTGTGATCCAGTACTTGTTTACTACTTCCCGGATTTGCCCTTCAATACATACTCCCTCCTCCCGTTAAGATTGTCTCATTTTACCTTTTTGGAAAGTTCCACTAAGATTGTCACATATCAAATTTGGTAAAGTTTGTGTGGCTCTAAATCATTCTTATTTTATTTTTACCTTTTCAATTCAATATCAACCACATAAATTCACTTTTCTTAATAATCGTGTCACCTTCTTCCGTCCCAATGTTAGTGGGACAGAGTTTGTTAACGATCCTAATCTCGGTGGTTTAGTTGTTAGATTAAGAAACTATCAGGATCAGGTGAAAGTGTTAAAAGGAACAGTTTCAAGTAGATTTCAAGTGAAACGATACTGGATCAAACTTCATTGTAGAATCTAAACCTCCAAGATGGTTTTAATGTAAGCCCATTCGAGATGGGTGAAGATTTGAGACTAATACATATTTAGGTGGGGAAATGACACAAATATGACTATATTTAGGTGTGTGTGTGTGGGAGGATGGCTAAACATAATGTGCGGGAATACTCATATTTTCCACTTCATATTGTGCGGGTGTTTGGATCCGATTCTAAAAACTGCTTCTGTTCCTAGGTGCTATAATTTACTCATAAAATTAGTTTTTTTAGAAATCGGGGGAAACCAGCTTCTGAAAACTGATTCTGATTCTGCTTCTATTTTAAAAAAGAACTAGAAACAGAATCAATTCCAAACACCCCTATATAGACTAATAATTGATCGTCTTCTTAAAGTATGTTTGAGAGTTTGGGGGAAAGGGATGGAAAGTCTTGGTAAGTTGTTAGAGGGGGAGTAGATGGGGTCATGGGGAGGTGAAGAAACCCTGTTTCTTAATTGGGAGTAGTAAATTTGGAAAAAAAGTCTTAGAAAGAAATACAATGAAAATCAATTCTAAGATATAGTAAATTCAAATAGTTGAATAAATATTCAATTCAAATTGAACGCAAATTATGATTTAGTTAGTTATCCTTCAAAACCTTTCATAAAGTATGATTGTGGGAACTTAAAAATTGAGTTTTAGAGGAGTCTTGAATAGGCATGGACCCGGTTTGGGCCGCCCGGCCCGGGACCGGCCCGGCCCGCCACTGTGCGGGCCCGGAACCGGCCCGGTTCTCGGGTCCGGGTCCGGGTCGGGCCTAGGCCCGGTGGGGTGGCGGGTCCGGGCTCGGACCTTGTATTTGGCGAACCGGCCCGGCCGGGTCGGGCCCGGGCCGAATTGATTTTTTTTTTTTATTTTTTTTTTTCATTTTTTGGGGTTAGCCGGGTTGGATTTGACGGTTAGGAGGGGTTTGGGGGGGTGAGTGGGGGGGGTTAGGAAAGCAAAAAAAAAAAAATATGACCGAACCGGAGGCCCGGCCCGGCCCGGCCCGGCCCGGACCCGGACTGGACCCGGTGGCTACCCGGGCCGGTCCCGGGCCTTCCTTCCCCAAAAAAAAGCCCGGCCGGGCCCGGCCCGGAACCGGCCCGGCCCGAGTCCATGACTGGTCTTGAAGGGTCACAAGTGGGAGGGTTATAACCCCTCACGTAGTCACATGTCTTCTCCTCCCTCCAAAAATCAACTCCCAAACACACCCTTAGGAAAAATGGCCCTATGCGAGAAACGCTTTGGATATGATCCCACCTCAAAACTAAAAGGTGTGTTTTAGTTTTCATATTTTACTTGTATTTCATAGAAAATACTTCTAAAAAGGTCACAAAGTTGCATATTTACTCTATTATTTTTTTTAGTTCGTTGTATAAACTTTTTATTTACTCCGTAGCACTGTGGCACTCCCAACTAAAAATACAACTACAAATCATTGGGCGGGATTTCATTTTTGATAACATATTAATTTCCAATTATGCCCTTTATTTGAGTGGGAATTTTTCCTCCAAAAGTTGTAGCATCTTTGCTACTTTATATTATATAAAGATATGTGTAACTAACTTCTAACAGTCTATCTAAGAAACTACTAGAAGCTTTTACACGTAAGCTAAGCTATATTGATGATATATTTCACAATCTTCTCTACTTTTAACGTAAACAGACGGAGAAGATACAATTCAACCATTTTATCCATATAACTTTTGACAAACCGATGCTAAAAATTAAAGCATGGTAATTGAAAAATGTTTCTTGCATCAAATTTGCATACTGAGAATTATTTATGCAAGACTTATATTACAAAATAATTAAATCAAACTCCAAACTGTGCTAAGTGCTAACTCGTTATTGTAACACGTTTTGATGATCGAAGTAAAAAAGGCAGACCTGGGATCAAACGAAGTAAATAGTACTGAGTATTGTTCTTCAAATTGGAGGTCGAGATTTGGGCTTATCGCAAATTTACAATTTCCACATGTAAGACCAGCATATACACTACTTAGGACACAATTTTGGTTGAAATGACATGTACAGTTTAGAAGTTCATAGCCCTGCAAAATTGATAGAAAGAGGCATTTCTAGCCCCAGGAAATACGAATAAATATATTTTCTCGTAGGCTGAGAACACAAGTATTTCCTCAAATCTATCGGCATCTGCTTTCTTCTTGCAATCATGCCTAGCAGAGAATTGAAAAAATAGAGTATATCATTGTTGTGTTATTTGATCACCAAGTAGAATGAATCTAATAAAAAGATGCATACATTTGAGCACCAGATGTCAGTCTCACTAAAACTAGCAAAGCATATACTACAAGCCTGGGCGCCAAGTTTCCCTTGACCGCCTATTTCTTCTTCTTCTAACTTTAACCCTTCTCAGTTCTACTTATCCTCCAACTACCTCACCTGGATGCTAAGCCTAGCACTTTTTTTAAGAACACATACTACTAAAATGCTTCTACAGAGAATAAGTAGCCTAGGCTTAACACGAACAAAAATAAGAAGCCTCAACCTAATGAGAATACGGAACCCATTTATAATTTATAATACTACTAAAACAAGGGTTGCTATGATTTTAAATTACTACTCCCTCTATCCTAAATTTATCTTCATTTTTTCTTTTCCATTCCATCCCATTATTATTTTCGTGTTTTGTCTAGGCACAAAAGTTCTTGTTATAATATCACTCATTTCAACCCAAATCTCAACCACATTTTACTTTCAGACAGACTTATTAATAGGCATGCCAAGTCAAAATCAGAAGATAATTGCAGGATGGAGAGAGAACTTTCTATACTTTTAATGTTATATCATACAACCAAAGCATTGGCTTTACCTGTGTGGGAGTCTTAGGTTGAGGTAGATTGACTAACCGCTCCATTGTTTGCAGCTGGTCGTAAGGTGCAATCTGCAGAATAAGAACAGCATAATATGCAGGCTACCTTAACAACTACTGAATGGAATAAAAAGCTGTTATATTGGCCAAAACCAAGGATCTAGATCATAAATATATGATACAATTTAATTCAAACCACCTGGCAAAATCCATCCGGCCAGGTTATTGATACAGCATAGTTCCCCATGGGTCGGATTTCTTCAGGCTCAATGTCCTCTGGTATATCAGTGTACTCCAGCTCCTGTTCCCCTGTCCATTCATCCTATTCCAATCGCAATTAAAAATCCATGAATGAAAGTTATAAGAGGGAACACAACCGCAAACCATTGATTTGGATATTGGAATACCAAACAGAAAATAACCATGACCAATATACAGCTGCCAGAAGTACTTATAAAAAACAATAGCTCAATAACTATGAAGATATCTATAGCTTTATCTCTCAATAGCTCAAGAAGAGAAAACAAGGGTCAACCACAAGCCCTTGTTTGGTTGGAGGACCTTGGGGAAAGTGGATGAGTGATGTGTCTGTTTTTGGTTGGGGGAGGAAAGCGAAGAAGCTATCAACTTTTCCAAGCACCTCATATCTCATTCCCCAATTTAGGGATTTCAGATTTTTTTCTTTGATTTTCTTTTTAACTTTAAAATGACAGTTGATCAACATATACATCAGTATGTTTTTAATTGCAACAGAAAGTATATCAATTATTATACTTTTACATATCTTTGTAAAATACGGATTACTAACTTTTCAATTTTTATCACTCCATTGAACCAAACATATTAGCTATGTAGGCCTTCGTGTTCAAGACTACTTGCTTAATAAGAACACAGCTTTGTAGACCTTCTTGTTCATGACTACTTACTTTAGAGGTTGATGATGGAAAATCATAAGCTACAAGGGACTTCTTTACATACCACACTTTTAGCAGATAGATCATTTCTTCTCACAGTTGCAGGGTGCAAATAGAAGTCTTTGTCAGAATCGGGCACTCTCACTCGTATTGCCTTAATAGATTTCTCATAACTTACTGCAGTGGAGACTGGACGAAAACATAGAAACAAAAGCACAGGTTAAGAATCTACAATCAATTCATAATCTTTAGTTCCTTTTTTCATTAAGTTTTAACAAAAAACCAACAGAATGGTGTTTCCCCAGGTAAGCCTGAACATAAGAATACAACTTTTCAATTTTCATGCTACCGTAAAACTTCCCAGGATCCAAACATAATTCAAGGGAGAAAACAGAAAGAAAAGAAAAGAAAAGAATGAAGATCACCTTGTTGACGGATTTTGGCACATTGTTGTACTACACATACCCCCAACTCTTGGAATGTTTGGGAAACATCTCCTTGAGGATTAGAAACGACCTCAGGCATTCCACTATCTCCAGAAGCAGAGAGCTTTTAATATTCAGGAGAACACGTAATTATTTATTAATCCTAATTAACATGGAGACATGAAGACAATAACCTCAGAGGGGGGGGGGGGGTAATGTACATACAAGCATGGATCATAGACAATATGAGTTTGCAATACATAATGTTCGATCAGTTAACAGTAGAACAGGGACTTACAGTTGGTGTAATAGGAAGATCAAACAAATGTGGGATCCCAAATTGCTGGACAACCTGTGAAAAATATGATATGATTATACTAAAACTCTGAAAGATAATAGCTGTAAAAAGATGAGTATTGGTAAGGTTTTGATAAATGACATTCTTAAGTCATATCTTTATAATTTTTTATTTGAACTGTTAAATTCATATCCAAACAATCATATCACTGCTCTGGTCGGTTTTGTAAAAATATGACTAAATACTACACACTGAACTCTGCAGCAAGCTTTTAAGTGGATTTATTGTGATTAATAAGGGTTGGGCTTTGGTACCAGAGAAATGATGAAATACTTCTTCAAGTATATGACTTTCAGCTTACAACTTTATAATGTATAAAGACTGTTCTGTATTGTGTTGCTTATATAGAGATGTAACAGACTAACAGGTCTAGTCTCAATAGGAATAGGAACCTGAACCCTAAACCTAATGAAAGTATAAAACTATAAATTAGTACTAAAACTGGGTAACTATATTTCTATTATAAGTTGATAATTATTTTTTATACCTTTAAAATATTTTTGTACTGTAATATAAAAACATGCTATTTTCTGGCTAGGAGACCAAGCAACAACGACATGGATAAGGAGAAGAGCGCACCTGAACACCTGAACCTTTACCAAATGGGTAATGGAATTTTCCATCAACAACAAAGTGGCACATATTCTCGACTACAGCAACACAAGGCACCTAAACATTAAATGGAAAGTGGAAACAAAACTTTGAGAATAGTACAATAGAATTTGTAATTAAAGAAAAAGATGGGTAATGTGAAACGGGCCTTAAGCTTAGAAAACATGCGAACTCCCTTAGCAACATCTACAAATGCCAACTTTTGTGGTGTGGTAACAATAACAGCAGCAGTCAATGGAACGACCTATTCACCGCATCCAATCACAAGTTATTTTAATCTGAAGAGTCCAACACCAGCGATGCTGAGCTATTTAGGTCCGCTAGGATCCCAGAATATGCTATGGAAAGAAAACATGAAGGAAAATCTGGAAAGAAATAGTTTGGGGGAAACAGAAATTGGATTGCACCCAAAAAAACAATTTGAGGCGCTTTCTCCAAACTCATATTGTAATTGTATACTCCTTCTGTCCCACAAAACTTGACCAAATTGACTTTTCTTGGTCAGTTATAATAAACTTTGAACAATGGCATTAGCTATTATATTTAAAAAATACGTAGTAATAATTATACCTCTACGAAAATATATTTAACAAAGAACATTGTGATATAATTTTTCAAAAATATTTTTTGAGACGGAGAAAGTATGTATTTCTATTATATAGAGACTAGTAAATCTAAATATATGTAAAACAATTAAAAAAAATGTAATCAAATTTCGTTTTCTTTCCTTACCATTTTCCAGGGTCAAACATAGCTCTAAAAAGCTATCAAAAACATGAGTCAGCAGAGTATGAGCAAACCTGGCACAATGAGAGCTGAATATCACCAGTTCCAGGAGGCATGTCAATAACAAGGTAGTCCAGTTCTCCCCTGCATAAATGAAATGAGTTCTATTTACAATGATGCAAGTAAGAACTCAACAAGCTCTGAATAGCAAGCAAGTAAATAAACTTTGAATAAAAAACTTAAATACTTTGCCTTAGTTTTGCTCATAAGAGGGGATGAGAAGTAAATAAAAGAGTTTAAAAAGATTTTATGCTTGGCTCAATGGATGAGTCACGAAGAACAATAAGATTAGAAAAATCTAAAAAAAAGTACTCCCTCCGTCCCTAAATAAACTTCCAACTTTCCTTTTTCGTCCGTCCCAATTAAAACTTCCACTTTCCCTTTTTGGCAAAGAATTTGTGGTTCACAACAATTCTTACACATTTCTCTCTCCTCTGCACAACTCTCCACCACACAATACCCACTATCTTAAACTGTGTGCCAAACCTATTTAGAAGTTTTATTAGGGACGGAGGGAGTATTTGAAATGATTTTTGTTGAAATAAAAACTATAGAAGCCTATATGTATAACAACAATAATGTAGAACAATTTTGTTAAAAATGTGAAACAAAAATTAGTAAAGAAACTCCTTCGAAATACCCCAAATTGGAGGAATATGAAGAATTTGGAGAAATCCTCTGCTACCCTTCCCTTCTCCCCAAAGTCCTCCAACAAAACAAGACCTTAATGGGGATCCCAAACTAATCCACTGTAAACAGAAAGAAGTACATCATAATACCATTCAGCAGTAGTTAGTAGTTGGTTGATGATCCCAGACACCATTGGACCTCGCATTATTGCACGCCCTTGTCCAGCAAAACCAAAAGACACTAACTTGACACCCAAGTATTCTGTTGGAATAATGCTTCTCTTCTCCGGGTTCTAACAGTTCCTTAATTAGTGTTTATTATATTTCTGCCCAATCTGCATGTATGCATTTGAGGACTAAGTAGCAAAAGTTACCATTTCCAGAAGCCGGTTTTCTGGGGAAACCATCATTGGCAAACTAGGCCCATAAACATCAGCATCAAAGATTCCAACTCGAGCTCCCATACCCGCCAAAGTATATGCGAGGTTGACAGCAACTGTTGATTTTCCCACCCCTCCCTAGAGATTTTCACATCGAATTATGCAGGATTAAAGATATTTAAATAATATTCTCTCTTAATACGCAAGTACAGGACAGAAGCTTTAAGATGTTCCTCAGTTAAAATTTCAAATAATATTTTTTGTAACTAAACATACATGGCAAATCATTTTCTCACAACCTTTTTTATAATACCCTTAGATAGGAATCATTGGAAAAAGTGAAACAAACATCATAGCATTGGTTTCCCTTTGTTTCATGCAAACATGTTAGAGATGAAGCAACATAGGAATGTTCAAAACCAGTCTTGAACACTCTTATCAGTTTCAGCCCTGTTTGTTAGCCAGTACTGGCTTATTCTGTTTATTCTGCACAATAAGCAGATAAGTAACCTAGCTGAAATGGGTTTTATCAAACACTTTTTGTTCATAAACCTCAGTAGATTTGTCCATTTCATCCAAATAATGATTACCAAATGAGACCTTTCACTATTCAAAAAGTATATCAGCAAAAGTTATTGATGTGCAGTGTGTTTACCTTGCAACTTGAGATTGCCACTATATTTGATATTTTTTGCAAGCCGGATGGAAGCTGTCCAGCGAAAGCAGATCTTACAGGTTGGGTTGACATTTCCACATTCACCTTTTTAACCCAGGGGAGTGCGGCAACCACTTCATTAGCCCTCTGCTCAAACTGCAGAATTAGACCTCTCAGTTTCTTTTTGTACACAAAAATGACCCACAAAAAGTATTTTTTTACAGGAATATAAAATGAAGAGCTATAATAATTTAAGGCTCCGTTTGGTGGTCATATTCGGCTTATTCTGCAGATAAGTGACTACTGGCTTACTTATTTAGCTGAAATAGTTGTCATCAAACACCTCCAAATAATTTAGCTTTTCAGCTATTTCAGCCAAATAATTGAATCAATATTGCCAAACGGGCCCTATGGTTCTCTGTGGATGTACAATGAACCAATATTCACCAGAATAGAAACTAAAGTTATGTACCACTTGATACAACACATCAATTCTTGATCAAACAACGGTGTTTGTGTTTCATTTACCATGTCCTTGATCGGACATGCTGGAGTCGTAAGCTCTAGCCGAAAGTTAACCTGCAACTCAGTAATGTCAGAAAAGAATTTAAAGGCTATAAAAATAGGATATGGATCAAAATTAGTATGTGCTTATTGATAACCTCTCCAAGAACCTCATCAACATGGAGGTCCTTCACAAACCCGCATGAGACTATATCAGTTCCAAAATCTGGATCAATTATCTGTGTAAGGGCTTTTAATACTTTGTCCTCACATGTTTGATTTGATACTGTCGAAGCACTACCTGCAATATACTATGTTTAGTTAGATGCGATGAAACAACTCGAGAACATGTACACTTGCAGATAATGGTAGGTGAAGGGAAAATATGCTCAGCAAATTAATTTTCTTAATTATTATTTGGTTTGATCATGGAAAATATGAAGGAAAACTGAATTCTAAAATATTAGTTAGACTACGGCTTTTTAAAATTTACTTCAATCTAGGCCTTTGGTCTTTATGTCATACATATATATTTCATTACATTGCATTTGAACAAATATCTAAAATTTAAATATTACTCCCAATTCTTTGAACCAATTCTTCTTTCCCTCAATATTTCTTTCCTTCCAAAGTTTAGCTCAATGTCCCTCCCAATTTTTTTGAGCAATTTCCAGGTTTCAAATGGATCCATAGTGTGAAAGAAGAAAAACAAGAAAATTTCGTGTGATGTCTTTAACGTTTAAAAATTAAAAGAGAAAAGGGGCATATAAGCCCACGTACTAACCAAAAAAGGTCAAATAAGCCCTTATTTAGAAGGTTCTGTCCGGCGGTTGCCATTTGGGGTGGTTCCCGGTGGAATTTTTTGATGAAAATTTTTGAGCATCTTATTCATTCAATCTAGTTTACGCATACCAAATTTCAGCTAAAGCTTCAATGGGGAAGGCGTTCAAATGAATTCTTGAAAATAACAGTGAAGTTAAAAACACAGTTATCTTCAAGAATTCATTTAAATACTTTCCCGCTTGAATTGTTAGCTAAAATTTGGTATGAGCAAACTAGACTCAATGAATAAGATGCTAAAAAAATTCATCAAAAAAATTTCACCAGGAACTGCCCTAAATGGCGACGCCGGGCAAAGCCTCCCTAATATGGGCTTATTTGACCTTTTTTTGTTAGTACATGAGCTTATTTGCCCCTTTTCCCAAATAAAAAAGACATTACTTTGCACATTTAGACTTTCAGGTATGAGTATGACCACACTTTATCCTCGTTGCTCTCTTCACAGTCCACACTCTACTTTAAGCTATAAATTCAAAATCTTGGCAGCTTCTTCCAACAATTTAGTGCATATACTTTGCACACTATACTTGGATCTCACCAAGGAATTCGTGCCCACTCTTATTGAGGATGCACATATTAGTGTTTCAAGAAATTTAAACAATAAAAACATGTCACACTACCTAATCAGGAACACAAACTGCATGGTTCAGCTAGAGAATGGGGGTTTCTCATAGTGAAAAAGAAAAAAAAACTGGGAGGTAAGAAGAAACCTGCCTTTCAAACAACGAACTTTAGGGGTCAAAAAATTTGAATGTGTCGAAGGTACACCCAAAGGCCTCGAGTTTCTTTGAGGCAGGACAGGGCAATTACGAGAGTCACTTGCTTTTTGTTGTGAAGAAAAGTAAAAGGCAAGTTTAGCAGAAGAAGGAAACTGAAGAAGTGGCATTTCCTCCACAATCTGTTACTGCGTGGTACGAGACTTTGGAGTTGAGCAAACAACAAACTGAGAAAGTGAAAAATAATCAGTATGTTTCATAGGTATGTTTTGTGAGCCTCTCGTTTGGATCCCAGCCTTCCCAGGTAGAATGGAAAAGATAGGAATTCTTAGCCATGGTTTTGTTTTGTTGGGTAGCAACAATATGTTTGTGTATTCGCCAAACAAAATTATTTTGGTCTTTCACTATTTACATATAGTTACCAACTAGCTTTCAAGCCCGTGCGATGCACGGGCAGTATATAATTTAGCTAATTTGAAATTTACTTTCCTTCAAATCACATATAATGTGATTTAAAAGAAAAAAACTTAGTCTAATATAGTCTGTTTGATAATACTAAAATAAATAGAATTAACTTATTTTGTTGAAATTGATTGAATTCTGGTTAAATAGGTGGAATCTCCTGAATCATGAAAAATATATGTGAAATATATTTCATCTGTGAAACAAAGAAAAAATTATATGAAAAAAAGTTAAATTGATCTTCTACATGAGCAGTAAACATAATTGTTATGAACCCGATATTAAAAAAATTCTCTATTTCTTAATTGTTAGATCTTACATTTTACTCATTAATAAGGACGCTTTTATTTGAATTAAAATTTCGGGTTTGATTTGGTATGAATTAATATGGTCTAGTAGATGTCTGTTTTTTATGTGACTTATTATTATAATTATTATGATTATTAAGTTTGATCTAAGCTGATTTAATCTGAAACTGAAATCAATCCAATTAAAAACATTCTATTAAAATAAAAGTATGAATTTGTAAACATATCAAGATTTTCTAATTTGGATTAGGAATCTATTTTAAATTTTAGTTGTGACATAAAGATACAACAAAAAATATTTACTTATATGGCTAGGCTAAACGTATTTACTTGTGAAAATATATATACTTTACGTTGGTTATAATTTTTAATTTCATTACTAATTATTTATTTATTTGAAGCTTACTAATTTATTAATAAGTGTCAAATTAATAAGTAAACTAATTTACATATTTGTTTCTATTTAATTCATTTTAGTAAACTTATGTAAATTAGTTTCCATATCGATAGAGGTTATTAGAATTTCACTTTGATAACCGAAAATTATTTTACTTATTTAAAGCTTACCAAATTAATTAAGGTGGATTTCTAAGGATTTTTGTTTCCATATCAATATGGAATCAAAAATAGAATCTAATAAAAAAAAGTATAAAAATTAATTAAATCATTGTTATATATAATGACATGGCAGGATTATGTGGCGCATTGTATGCTCTTAAAAAATTCCTCTTATATATATATTGATTTAACTTTTGAAAAATATATTTGAATTTCTTTGCTTCTAAATTTTCAAAATATGAATTACCCTTATACCTAACTACGAATTATTATTATTTTTATTATTTTATTATGAATTAATACATTTCAATAGCTATAAGGGTATATTTGTCCAACACACATAATTAGTCTCATCAAAACATAATTTACTTTTTGGTCCTATGTATGCAAACATTTTTTAGTCATGTTTTGATTATTAAGTATTAACCCAAAAACTTAGTAACAACACTTATTTATATCTAGAATATGAATTACTCGCAGTACATATTTGATTGTGAAATGGAGGGAAAATGAAAGAATACCTTCAATTATTGTAAGAAAATATACATCTTTATAGCTCAAACCAATCTAAACCCAATTATTTTGATTTATTGTTGAAAATGTTTTACCTTTTCTATTGACTCTAATTTCATGCATAATTTAGAGACGCTTTTTGAAAGCTTCAAAAGTTTATCTAGAATAGGCCCATTGAAATTGGGGGCCAATTTTTTTTAATAATAGTATTAATATATAGTTATATTAGTAGTATATAATACTACGTATTAATATATTATAATAATAATTAAAACCAGCCCTGGAAACACACAATGCAGACTTCTCACATTCTCCTAGCCGATCACTCAGAATCGATATATATGAACACCTGAACACAATTAATTTTGTTTAACTTTGTGAGTGTTATTATATGTGATTTTACTTTTATTCATATATGAGATCTCAACATTTGGAACTGAGACCTCTAAATTCATTAGACGGTCCTGTATAATTTATTAAGTTGAACATTTTTATCGCTTTCATGCAGGTTGTGACACCTATATATATTATGTAAAAAAAAAAAGCAAATTAGTACTCAGCAACATTAATTTAGTTTTAAAAAGGTAACCTCTATTTATTCCTATTTTTGTATATTTTCACATTAATGGAATATTGATTGTGTAGCAATGTAGCATCAATGAGTTATCATTGGACAGTATACTAACTAAACAAATAATGAGTACCTTATGTTCAAAACTTCAAATTGAATTAGTCGTCATGAGTATCTGTGTCTCTTGATTAGTCATGGATCCAGGCCGCGTCGGGCCCGGGCCAGGCCTAGGCCCGGTCGGGCCTCGGGTTTTTTGAAGGAGGCCCGGGACCGGCCCGGGTAGCCACCGGGTCCGGGCCGGGCTGGACCTCAGGTCAATTTTTTTTCCTTTTCCTAATTAACCCCCCCCCCCCCCACCTTACCCCCAAACCACCCCAAATGGGCCAAAATACCCAGCCCAACCCGAAAAGATAAAAAAAATTGAAAAATAAAATAAAATAAAATAAAAAAGCCCGGAACCCGGCCCGAACCGGCCGGACCGGTTTGGCTTTTGGGTGACCCGAGCCCACACCGGGAACTCCCGGGCCGGGCTTACCCGGACCGGTCACTGGCCGGGCCACTGGGCCAGGCCGGTTCAGCACAGTACCGATCCCGGGCCGGTTCCGGGTTGGGCCACCCGGCCCGAGTCCAAGACTACTCTTGATTAGTTGGTTATTTTTTTATATAAATTTGTCGATTTATTGATAATATTTTACATTCTACATTAGTGTCGTGTGAAAGAACATGAAAATTCATTTACTTGATACATTACATGTAAAATTACATGCAAGGCTGCCACAGATCAACTATGGATTGTCAAGAAAAAGAACGGTGTTACTTTGATTTAAGGTAAGGGCACATTTGCCTCAACGTTATACGATGCAGGCAAATTAATCAGCCAAAATGACAAAACATGTGTCCACATTGTTAAATAAATGAAACAGCTTTCTCTGCTACAAAAGCAGTAATTAATTCGTTTGAAAACAATAAAACAATACTAAGGTATAACTCCCCCCATCTAAAGTTTTCCATTTGGAGAAAGCCATGTACCTAACAATCCCTTGTTTTTTTTTTTATCTCGACCAACATGTACTATATGAATGAATGAATGACGCACACTTGTTGCACGGAAAACTGGCAATTCAATCATCAATGTAATTACGACCGACTTAATGCCAGAGCCTGCCGCAGAAACCTCGGTTCGGCCTTTTGCTGGAAATGATTTCTGAAAAAGAGTGTACTAACTGTCCAGCTAGGCTACTCGGATCATCAATAAGAGTCTTTATATAGGTATTGACAACCCTACGCTCCCGCTCCGTGGATCTCAAGCTAAACCAAGAAAGAAACTTTAACCTGAACTCATTCTTGATGTGACCCTCACATTCAAGCCAGCGAACTGTTTTCACACAATGCTCAAAGTTCTCGTCCAGCAGGCCTGAATTATTGTTGCTGGGGAGTACTTGGACTGGCGATCCACTGCTTACCAGACCACTGTCTGAGTCCTGTGCCTCACAGGTGGTGCTAGCCGTCCTTTTCCTACTCCCTCCCACCAATTGAGAGTCGACAGCTGTCACATCCCCATTCTGTGTGTGGGCCCAATCATGTGACTGAGCAATGCAGTTCCCGACATTGTCCTTGGAGATAGCATCTTCTACTAGATCGACAGTTGGTTCATCCCGAGAGGACACAGTGGTTATTAACTGACTCAACTCTTCATTCAAATCGGGGATTAATGCAACGTTTAAGTCAAGCTGGGCAGAAGGGTTATTGTGGTCTTGTGCTACACACTTTGTGAAACAATTTGCCTCGGTGTGTCCCAAGTCACCAGACGCTGTATAAGACACAATCCTAAAGGTGTACTCGGTGGAAGGCTGCAAGTTAGATATCAAAATGCTTGTCTGGCTTTTCGGAATGACACAATTAGGTTCGTTGAGGCAAGTCTCTAATCCAGCCCTACAGTACCAGATTTTGTACCCTCTGACTTCTACTGATGATGCAGCCAATGGGTCTAACAATACAATTACAACTGAAGACAGTGTCACTTCTTCAAAAAGGATTTTGCAGGCTGTTGGGAGTAAGCACCCTGACAAAAAAAATGGCAGGAAAAATCTTCAAAATTATCAGAGAGCATGTCACACATCGGCTAACTATAAAAATAATAAATCAGCATATACACCTTTGGGCTACTCCTAAGTGCTGTCTCATCTTTTACCCACTGGTTCATTCAAAAGATGGGAGGGGAGGGAAGGAGAAATTAGTATTTTTTAAACTGTGAAAATATTATATGGAGTATTTGATATAAAAAGTGTAATTTAGAAAAGTCGATGGAATCAAGAGAAAACAATACCCTTAAATTTCCAACTATGTGTTCTAGAACAGAAATTGTAATTAGAGTTAAAACTGTTTTTGGTGAGTTTGTCTAAGGATTGAACTCGTAGACTAGCTGTCAAAATGAGACAAAAGCGGACCCATAACCAAACCGACCCTAGATGAACAGTATAACATAATACAAAATTATTTATATTCCTAACTCCTCTTTGTCAAGAATATGATGAGTACCTTTGTAGTTAGGTACAGCAGTATGCTTTTTGGCTAGCCAAACATCAGCTTTTGCAATGGCAAGAGAGCAAAGAGATTGCACATCACCTGAAACAGAAAGTCTACTAACAATGCCACGTGCCATCATGGATGAAATTCCATTTACAGGGCCCACCTCTTTTTCTAGTCTTTCCTTAGCTTCTTTAACAATACCATGCAATTCTTGAAATCTGGAAGTCCCATCCAGGAGCCTGTAACTCAAATATAGTCTAAAGCAGAGGATATCCACACGACGAGCATCTTTTGCAATGGAAAGATGCTTCTTCCAAATACTGCCAGGATCGGTAGTAACATATCAGAAGCTCAAAACATATCACAAGAAATACAATCTAGAGTTTGGCATTCAATACATCTACAGGAAGAAGAACTTGAAGTTTGATCCATGGCTCCATGCACACAAGCAGTAATACTCAGGTAAATTTTCACAGAAAGAAGAATAATCAGACGAACTCATGTGTGAATGTCCATCCACCACAAAGCATGACTGGACTCCAGTTAGATGGAAGTTCCTCTATTGTTACTTTGTTAGTCCTCTATCTTCCTAAAAATTGTCCTATTTCATAAAGCAGGCCCATATTTCATGTAAATGCAAAAAAGGTTATAAGCATATTCAGTGTGCTGAACTTAGTTAAATAAAAAAAAAATCAGAACTATTAGAATGATTTCAAATTTTTAAGAGTTGTACATTGTAGAAATTTAAAAGTTGTACCTTGACCAAATTTTTCCATCACTTCCAATGGAGCCAGACTCATTGTATTTTGGCTTGGGAATATGATGGAATAAAGCAAAATGACTCAATAAACTGTCCACACTTCTTTGTTATGAAGTAGCAGTCAGTCCATGCAATTTTCGACGCGAATTTGATCATGGGTTATCCGGAAACAGTCTCTCTGTGCTTTAATACAAGGGTAAGACTGCGTACATCCGACAACCCCTTACCCCACCGTAGGTGGGAGCCTTTGCGGCACTGAGGTAATGTTGTTGTGGTATGTTTTTGTTGTACCGTGACCAAACACGACTGTGTTTTTGGGACAGTTCAAGTATAAGCATCATGGTGAAAAGTAAAAGGGCTTAACAACCAGAACAAAAATGAGAAATACTAGTAGAAGAATAGCCGGTGTTACACTTCAGCAAGAACCGGCATCAAGAAGTCCTTTTCTTTAAGAACATGATCTATTGAATTTCCTCATATTGTGTTCAGTGGGTAAAAATAGGAAGGGGAGAAAGAGGATTTGATTTTGCAAACAGATTGTGGATAGATGACTTACCCTAATATATCAGAAACATTACCACAAGAAGCACAACAGTAGCTCCCATCAAGCTGCATTAGCTGTCCAAGATTCACAACCCCCACCTTCCCTTGTTTGAAGGCACACTCAATGTGGCAAGTTAAGCCGCATGACTTTCCATCACCAGGGACTCGCATGCATTCCAACCAAAGACTTGGATCCTTGTTATCATCAAACAAATGGCAAATACAGCAAGAGCACCTCTTACAAAATTTCTCATCCATTGATATACTTGCTTGACATGCAGAATTCCTGCAGATCCATGATTGAGGGAGTTTAAAATTTACAGACTGGTTGGTTGGTGGTGATATTCGGAGAGGATTCCCCCCCTTCCTTTGGTGCTTTCTTGATAGATGTTCCCTTGAGCTAGGGGATGATGTATTTGGCTCCTGAGTATTCTGCAATTTCTTGCTCAACTTTGAGGGTTGTTCAGACATTCTTGGACTTGAATTGAAACTTTTAGTGATAATGGACTTCTTACTGGATCACTTCAAGTTCCAACTTCCTTTGCTTTTGTTTTTGAGTATCTGAAACACATAGTACTTTCCAACTTATTGGCCGACTACTGCATCAGGAATAGTATTATAAATTAAGCTTCCAAAACAAAGTAAAATAGCCTATGAGAAAGACATAGCATTGCCATTCAAGAATCAAGACTAACCTATCCATTTTTCGAACAATTCTCCATGCATTAGCTCCTTGTACTAAGTTTATTTGATCTTTAGCATAAGCGATTTTAGGGGAGCGGATTTAATCATGGGCTTATTTCTTATTACTTTTGTACCGTTTTAAAATTATAAGACTTTTATTGAATTTAATTATGCTTATGTAATCTTCCTATCGGTAGATTGTTGACGTACACTTATTGACTTCAATATGCTTCTCTGCTTTTAAAAGTTTATAAAAAAAATAAAAATCACCACAAGTTTATACCGCTATTTGAATGCACCCTCACAAACTTCTATTAATATTTTCTATTTATTATTTACAGATGTAGGGGATACTGATAAACTTATATCTAGCTGAGTAGCTGCAATGAAAGCCCTGGGGTATGGTATCTGAATTGCCTAGGAGTAGTTCATCATGCTGTGTGTGAAAAATTAATCAGCCAGGAGCCCATGACTTAATATTCAGAGGTAGAGGGGGCCAGAGGTTTCTCTAGAATATTGTATTTTAATAAAGCAAATAAATGTCGCAATTATACCAAGAAAATTAATGGTGCATGCTGAATGAAATTTCATCAGCAGACCTTCTATGAACAGTAGTATTGACTTTGCTTATATGGTGGCTATAAGAATGTGTCTTCTTTCCAAACGTTTCTTGAAAAAACATATACATGGAAAGAATCGTATTTAAAAATAACAAGTAAAAAGTGATATCAATAAAAGTGATGCAAACACTTGATCCAAGAAGATGGCTAAAACCATTGCAGTCACGTTGAAGGTAAATTCTATACAAGCGGGTAAAACATTAGTAAGTAAATTACTACTGCTTGATGCAGATCAATTCACAAAGTTTGCCTCAATTTTAGGATCTCTTTAGAGCATGAGGAAAACCCTGAATCAAACACCATGACTCAAACATGAGATCTAAAGGATACAGCTAGACATAAAATAGATTTTGCATAAACAAAAACAAATAAAGTGAAGGTGTGAAACATCAGGTAGGTCATTTCTACTCACAGTCAGTCAATACAGATGATTGATGATCATGAATTATAAGATCTAGAAAAGTCGGCTGGATTGACGGAGGAGCAAAAAACCCTAGATGTGTGTCACGTGTAGGAAAAGATGACTGGAAATGATCAGCCTGCCTAGGTTATCAGACAAAATCACTCTAATCCTTATCTGAGCACACTTACCAAACGAGTGACATTTCGACTCCATTCAATGAACCAATTGATACCCATCCATATGGTTTCATGTGGATAAAAAATCCAAGTTCACATCATATTGGGCTAGATTACTAGAAAAGTGATCCACAAATAACCCTAAGTATAATGAAATTAGCTCAACAGTGTAGCAAATACCAAGGCCTAAATGCATATGGAAAACACCTTCACTATATTTTAAAGCCCGGCGCAACACCAATTATCAATAGCAAGCAAGACACATTAACATCACTAGGGAAAAGAAAGGAAGATATACACAAGCATGCTGCTATATTGACTGCACCTACAAATGCTCTGAAGTTTTAATAGGATTGCTATGACCTTCAATACTTAACTTGAAATGTTAACTTGAAATAATTCATGTAACAGAGAACACAATAGAATACATAATTCTAAACATATTTAAATGAATTAACATGAGTTAGCTGTCCTAACATTATTTGGAAAGAAAAGTAATTGAGGCATTAAACCACATACCATTTACATCTTTTTTCCATTTAATAAAAATCAATGAGAAACTGAAATTCTGATAGCCAGCAATTGTGTGATATGGAGCTTTCAGAACCATAATTAAGCTTACTTAATTTCAAATATCCTGGTCTCCCAGTGTATTTAATAGGTATAGAGTGCCTTAATTTCTATATTTTGGAAGATCTACAGTTTCCTAATGGGAAGAGGAAACTAATTGAGAATATGATCCCATATTTGCTTTCTTAATGTTGGATTTGTTGCACTAGCAAAGTGTTCGATAGTTTACCATTGGGTTGTGGATTTAAATCTGGGATGTGAAAACAACAGGACATTGTTAAAGCTGCATTATGTTCACACCTCACCATCTTGCACTCTGCACAGGACCTCTTTATCCTACATTTTAGGTAATGCTCAACCCCAGACATGTTTTAGTTTTGCTGAGGAAAGGCATGGCAGATGTAAAACCATTCCCCGTGAAAAAATACTGAGGACAAACCCGAACAAGAGATAAATAAAGAAATGAGATATTCCAATGAGGGAATGTAAGAGACTGGTCAGATGTGTGCAGTCGAAATAGAAATTCCCCAAATTAACATTTAAACCTTTTTTATCAACAATCGATAAAACTCCGAATTTATTATGATACCTTATGCAAAGACTGCTGAGTGGACACTCTATGAAGAGTGTGCATGACTTGTATCATGACTTTGTACTCTGTAGATAGATACATAATCTTAAGTGTCTTTCCTGCACAGAGAAGTAGGAAAAAAACATTAATTTTGATATTCTAATTTCTGAACTCTTAAAATGCAAGTATAAGTATAACTTATAAAAACAGAAAGTCAATAAGCAGCATTAGAAAAGTAGTGTTAGGAAAGAATACAAAGCCATTATCTTGGTTTATATCATCAAACACAAAATTCAAATCTAACAGTGACAATTTAAGAAAATAAAACCAAGCAACTTCGCTTCCATCATACAGGAGTCTTAAGAGATGGTAAACAATACGAGCATGAATCTTACTTCTCACCGTTTCTGGTCATAGATTGCATATGCAAGGCGAAGATCAGTTAAGGCTACCCTGCCTGGCACAGCAAAAAAGGGGTAAAGTTGGAGGAAACTGGCACAAACCAGCATCACATCTTTACACACACAACAAATATCAGCTAGGGATCTTACTTAGTCACATGGCTGCTCAAAGGACCTGAAGGAGCAATCTGGAAGACCGAAAACTCTGAACACATTAAGTCATTGATTTAAATTTCGACATACACACACACACATAGCTTGAACAAACCTACTTACGGAGTAATGTCACTACTACAGCTTTATTCCAATTTATTTATTTCAATGAAGAAGCAAGAGCAGCTCGCCAGATCCCAGGTCACATCAAGAGAAATATATGCAACCCCAAAAAAAAACGGATGATCTAACCATTGGGATGACATCTATCTTCCAAATCCATGCACAATCATGCAGATGAATTTGTTTACACTTGACAAGACTCTCCCTATAAAATTCAGGCATTGGTGCAGCAATCATTAGTTCATTACGCTCTCAAACTTATACAGTTTGGCATATTATTCATAGGACTCTGAGGCATACTGGTGCAACAAGCTAAGGAACTTTTATTACTAAATCAACTGTCTTGTAGCAACTTCACAGACCCCATCAATAACCGAATTGAACAAGTAGCATTTTAGGAAAAATGGATTTGGTAAAGACTAAAGAATGGTAAAGATTCCTTGATCATTTTTTCCTATTTATTCACTGAAGGCAATGAATTTACTCAGGTCAACTAGCATTGTGCTCATAAGCTTCATTAGGATATCATCATTTAGCACGGATCCTAATCCTAACGTTTCCCGTTTGATTGGATGTAAGGGAATATAAACCATTGAAGTGTTAAGGGAGGTAAAGATTCCTTGTATATTTTTTTCTTATTTCTTCACTGAAGGCAATGAGTTTACCCAGGTGAACTAGCATTGTGCCTATAAGCTTCATTAGGATACCTTCACTTAGCACGGATCTTAATCCTAACGTTTCCAGTTTGATTGGATGTAAGGGAGCATAAGTAATTGAAGTGTTAAGGGAGGAAAATGATACTCCGCAATAACTTAGGATATTAAGGGTAAGGAAGGATATTGCATAACTTTTAATGCTCTTGAAACTCTTCTTTTTTAAATCGCCAAACAGGGTGTAACTGTGTAAGCATAGTTAACAAGCTATACACATGGAAACTTAAAAACAATCACAAAGGCACTTAAACCCTGATTACCCACCCATTTATTTTGTTTCTTGATACAGAGATTCTTGTTTGAACTGTTAGGATTTTTTTGTGCTTTTGTATTTGACATTACTCATCAGCTTTCTTTTTGGAACTCTTTAATCTTTATTTTCATTCCTTTCAATTATTTCTTTAACCAATTTATGGCTATGATAGCTATACATGTGATATAGCTATTAGAAGAGGAATAGAACAAAAGTTTTCCGCACATTTGCATACATCACTTTATATTACTCCGTATTAAGTCGAGAGGTTATTCCTATCCAACTTTCTTTTCTCTTTCCTTTTTAACTATCCCAAACAATGGAAAGTAACGATTTATGTGTATTCTTCAATTCCCTCTTGTACCCATGCTAACACTTCCAATGTGTACAGCGTACACCCTACTAAAACTTTACCCATTCTCCAACTCTATTAAAATTTGAAGCAAGCTCGTCGACCAAGTCCACATTATCTTCAATTCAATCACCACAAACAATGCATATCACCCATACAGAAAGATATAAAGATGGGAAAAAATCCACATACTGAAAAAACATAGAAATGTACCTGATTGAGAAGCTAGAAAGGAATAAAGAGAACTTAGTTAGGGTTTATGTGAGGGGGTAAATGAAAGGGAGTGGTGGGGTTCAGAAAAAAGAAATCTTTTTTCCTTCTTCCTCACACTCACTATGCCGTTGCAGTATTGATAGTTTTAAGCTTTGCTGATCTCCGTATGATGTCACAAATAACGGAAATTAAAAAAGAAAACGGTTTAGGCCTCATCGGCTGATTCTGGTGCGTGTGATTACAGAAATTCAAACTCACCGGTGCTTCTCCTAAGAATAATACGCAGTATTAAAAATAAATTGCATAACTTTTTATTTGTACTGTCCAAAAAGCATAAAGCGATCTTCGTTTTCTATATACTGTTCGCCAGTTGTCCGGCGGCGAGACTGCACGTTTTCTGTAACATATACTCCGTATACGACGTACATTCGTACGGAGTTTTTTTGTACTCCCTCCGTCCCAGGAGAAGTTCCCGGGTTGACTTTCACACATATTTAGGAAATAAAGTTAGTGAGGGGTAAATTTTACTGTTTGGCACTGTTTCGACACTGTTTGACACTGTTTCGACACTGTTTGGCACTGTTTTGCACTGTTTGACACTGTTTTGATAACTTTCCATTTAGGGAAATGGGAACTTTTTGTTGGGACTACCAAAAAAGGAAAGTGGGAACTTCTCCCTGGGACGGAGGGAGTATATGTTTGACATACCCATTTTTATACCCACCTTATACCCATCATGTTTGTGGAGGTTATTTTTGTCTGTGAGCCGGCCCAAATTATACTGTACGACCGGCATACCATGCGCATGGTATGCCCGGTCAAATACGGCGTAGTTTTGCTAATTAAAGTAATGATCGATGGAAGAGCTCGGCGAATCCCAATTGAAAGTCGTATGACGGTGAATCATCTCCTACAATGCCTGAGTCGCAGAGAGAAGAAAGTCAGGGTTGGATCCACTCATCCACAGCGGAAAAGATGATTTGGCCAGACAAAGGATAATCTAGAACTCAATTGTGAAGAGAAACATGGCAAGATTAAAGACTGACATCGATGTCCTCTCGTGCGATTTGGAGTGGAAAAAGCAGAGTGCCATGGTTAATGTCCATTGTGCTGCTTACTGACAGACACAATGATTCACTGGCAAAGAGATGCTTTAACATATATGGATTTTAACTGATTATATATATAATAGTAATGAATATGAAACTTCAGATCCTAATAAAGAAGACTCATCTTTGTCACATGTTGAAGATGACTGGGATGAATTATTTTAGACATTTCTCAAATTACATTTTGCGCATACTCAAGTTACACCAAAATTTGCCTAAAATTACATATGTATTAGCGTGAGTTACATGCCAAATTTTATCAACAAGATACATCTTTTTATTCGTGAGTTACATATGTTTATGCATGAGTTACATCTTATTGTGCGCGAGTTACATCCTGTTTACATATGATTTAAATTTTCATAATTCGAGTTGCACAACAATATAGTGCGAGTTACACAACTCAATAAGCCTCTGCTACTCAAAGAAAAATTAATTTGAAAAAAAAAATCATTTTTATAGCCTTGATATATTAGAAACAAAACATATACACTATTTTGTAAAATAATTGGGCAATTAGACTCCTTTTTCATTATTTACATTGAAATCAATGTTCTATTTCTTATACTAAGTATTGGGCAAGTTACATTTGGACTGGACTTTAGTTACATTGATTAATAACGTGAGTTACATTTTTTTACACGTGAGTTACATCACTCTGCTACTGGAACAAAGGAAAAAAACAAAAAAATTAATGTACACGCGCGTGTACTGTTCATGCGCGAAAAGTTTTATTAAAAAAGTGCAGGACTGTGTCGTTTTGATTGCAGGAGTACGGTGCTCAAGGTGGGCAGGTTGCACCGTATAGGGACTGGTGAGCCGGGGTTCACAGACAAAAAAATACTTCACAAACATAGGTGTGTACAAAAGTGGATATAAGAGTGGGTACAAAGATCATTTTTGTCATACGAATGGTTGCTTTCTATTCTTAACAAAAGGTAATTATGGACTGATTCGACCATGGTTGCTTCCCTTATAGTAGAGGAGAAAATTGATACTCAAGTGGAGGTAATATTAGATGATATTCGGTTCTTATTGAGAGAGGATGTGCTAGAACCGGTAGGAGAACGGCTAATAAAGTAACCCATACGATCAATTTTCTGTTGAGAAACAATTCATTAAATTAACTACTCCGTAGTTTCTTGATGACGCGTCATGCATGTTCATATTGTATATACTACGTATAAAGCAAGACAAGATTGAACGTAGCTAGAATTTCTTTATTGTGAAATAAATTAATATCTAAGTAGATAATTTTTAGCTATATATTTCAAGCGCATTTAATCAAGTATCAAACACATATAAGTCGGACTGGATTTGTTTGAATGAGTATTATCATTCATCTTTATTTTTAATCGGAAAGAGGATATTCCAATACTATTATAGAATGCTATGAATCATTGTTTGGAAATGAACATTGAATGTCTATCAATGAAAGAAACATTAGAAATATTATTGTAGTCAATTATTGGTAGCTAATTTTGGTATCCATGTTTTAAAAATTGTGAAAAGAACTAAAAGGCCTAATTATGTTTTTTAATACGGAGTAGTATGAACTATCTGTAAGGTGTTAGAGACTGTATAACCAAGTTTTTCTTAAATTATTTTTGGAAACACGTTTCTTAATTTATATTTTGGAAACGCATCCTAACTGCCTTGGGGTTAGGTTTTACTTCTCTATACATACAAGCTCTCTCCCTTGTAATCATGTGTGGATCCGAAAATAGCAATAATATTCCTGGCTTGGTAGCGCCACCAGATGTAGTCATTCGTGGCGAACTGGGTTACCAAATTTCGTGTGTTCTTTAATTGTTCTTTGCGTACGTGAGTTTAATTCCTAACAATTGGTATCGGTTCCCTAGGTTCGAAGGGAGATCTCACGATGGCAGATAATTTGAAGACACCGTTGATGCAGTTTGATGGGACTGATTTCGGTTTCTGGAAGTTGCAGGTCGAAGATTACCTGTACGGTAAAGATCTGTATCAACCTCTGAATGACAAGCCGGAAGACATGAAGGAGAGCGATTGGAAGTTGCTGGACAGGAAGGCGATGAGCGTGGTTCGATTGTCGTTGTCCAGAAATATCACCCTACACACCGTCAAAGCAAAAACGACAAAGGAGATGTTGCAGATATTATCGGATATGTACGAGAAACCGTCCGCTGCGAACAAGGTTCACCTGATGAGGCGTCTTTTTAACCTAAAGATGTCAGAAAGTACATGAGTTATGGAGCATCACAACGAGTTCAATTTAATCACCACACAGTTGAGCGCGGTTGAGATAAAATTCGATGACGAAATTCATGCCCTTATTTTGTTGTCTTCTCTCCTGGAAAGCTGGAACGGAACGGTGACTGCAGTCAGCGCTTCAGCAGGGAAGGAGAAACTGAAATTCAATGAAGTCAGAAATTTGGTGGTGAGCGAAGAAATTCGCAGGAAGGGATCAGACTTGACTCCTGGATCAGCGTTGAGTACAGAGAACCGGGGCAGAACGAAGTCGAAGTCCAAATCAAATCGAGATAGATCAAGATCGAAATCCAAGTCAAACATCAAGGGCAAGAAGGACATAAGTCAGATCAAGTGCTGGAACTGTGAGGAGTATGGACACTTCAAGAGCCAGTGCAAGGAGCATATCAAGGATCAGAAGGGGAAGACATCCGTCAATGCAGCGGCAGAATCATCTGGCAAGGATCTCCTGATCCTGATCGTGAGCAGTCCGTTCGAGTCATGGGTTCTGGATTCTGGAGCTTCGTTCCACTCATGTGGTAATGCTGAAGTGATGAAACAGTATACTCCCGACAATTTTGGAGAGGTGTATCTTGCTTATGATGAGCCTCTTAAAATTGTCGGAAAGGGTACAGTCCACGTGAAGACTCCGAACGGGTGCATGCTGAAACTGAATGGAGTCCGACACATTCCTGGTTTGAGGAGAAATCTTCTTTCAATTGGGCAGCTGGATGAGGAAGGCTATGCAGTTACATTCGGCAACAGAAATTGGAAGATCACCAAGGGAGCCTTGTTGTTTGCTAAAGGGAAGGAGGGAACGTTGTACATGACAACGAACTCTAAGGATTGTATTGATGTTGCTGCCGCTGTATCAAACGATGTCAATTTGTGGCACTGTCGTCTCAGTCACATCAGCGAAAAGGGGATGAAGGAGGTGTGCTCGAAGGGCAAACTGCCCGGCTTGAAGACTATTGAGGTTCGCTTATGCGAGGGCTGCATATTCGGGAAACAGAAACGTGTCAGTTTCTCGAAGGGTAGACGAGCTATTAAACCGGAGAAGCTGGAACTAGTTCACACCGACCTTTGGGGACCTGCAGAAGTTACATCCTTGGGAGGATCCGCCTACTACATGACCGTTATTGATGATGCCACAAGAAAGGTGTGGATTTATTTTCTCAAAAATAAATCTGATACATTTGATGCTTTTAGGAGGTGGAAAGCTCTTGTTAAGATAGAGACAGGTCTGAAATTGAAGTGCCTTCGGTCTGACAATGGAGGCGAGTATGAACTGCATGAGTTCAAGATGTTTTGTGCTGAGAATGGGGTTCGTATGGAGAAAACAACTAAAGGGACTCCGAGCATAATGGCATTGCTGAACGCATGACCAGAACACTGAATGAGCGGGCTAGATGCATGAGGTTGAAGAGTGGCTTACCGAAGATGTTATGGGCGGATGCAGTGAACACCGCGGCTTTTCTCATTGACAGAAGTCCAACGATCTCGTTGGATAATGGCATACATGAAGAAAGGTGGACGGGTAAGGAGGTCAATCTGTCCTATCTCTGCATATTTGGTTGTGTTGCTTATGTTCATCTCAGTTCCGTTGACCGAAGCAAGTTAGACGGAAAATTTGTCAAGTGTACGTTCGTTGGCTATGGTCGTGATGACTATGGATACGAATTCTAGGATGATAAGAATAGGAAGATTATTTGTAGCCGAGATGTAGTGTTCAACAAGCAGGTTATGTACAAGGACAGATTGAGTGCACCTGATTCTGAGCAAGAAAGTCCGAAGATCATAGAGTTGGATATCTTTAATTCGGGTGGGAGCAGGCAGGATCATAATGAAGAGCTGAGTAGTGATGAAGATCCATCAACCCCACCAAGGCAGCGGCCTGCCAGAAACCGGAGAGCACCAAATAGGTATTCACCTTCTAATTTCTATTTGTGCTTACTGATGGTGGTGAACTGGAGTCCTATGTAGAGGCAGTTCGGGTTGATGACAAGGGCAAGTGGAAGCTTGCAATGGATGATGAGATGGCATCTCTCACATCCAATGATACTTGGAGGTTAGTTGAGCTACCGAGAGGAAAGAAGGCTTTGCACTGCAAGTTGGTCTA